CATCTATTCTGGTGACAGGAGTGCGCTGTGAGGCCCTGGCCCTGCACACGACAGAAGCCAGGTAAGTGGAGAGCGCAGCCCAGAGCAGGTGCTCAGGAAGCCCCCACACACCCCTGAGGGCCAGGCAGGTCCAGACACACTCGCTCTGGGCAGGACTCTCAGATACAAGTCCCTTAGACCTTCACTCCCTGCACAGCTCAGCCCCAAGCAGAGACCCAGAAGCCGCCAGAGGCTCCCAGCCGGATACAAGGCCCCTACCCCTGCACAGAGTCAGTGGCTGGCACAGGAAGTCTTGGGAGGGTGTGGGCAGGAGTCAGGTGCCCTCCTCCTGATGTGGTCCCATTCACTACTGGCCTGGATTGGTCTCAGGAACTGGTGCCTACCCCATCAGCAGCCACATGCCAGGCGGTCACTCCTCGAGGAAGCCTCCCCAGAGCCCAGGTCCCCGGAGGGCTGCCAGGTAGCTGCCAGGATTTGCAGTTGCACCCTGTGATCTAAGATGGCCCCAGGGCCTACTTACTCTGATACAAAGGGCACCCACATTTGCTGAGCCTGTATACCTCATGCCGCAGCACTGACAAGCAGCTGGAAGATCCCCTTGCTATAACCTTGCCCGCTGGGGATGCCAGCTTTGTTGGCACATTTGGCACAGGGCCCAGGAACCAGCCACGTTCTTGCTGAGCTGCCCCTCAGGGAGCTAACAGCTGTCCCCGCATCTCCCATCCCAAATGGTGAGGCCGCTGTCTGTCCTCAAGGGATGCAGCCAGACCTGGTGCCTGGTTTTGGACCTCTTTGCTCACCAGATTTGCACATTGTCATCAGCAAGCATGGCCCCCCCACCTCCACCTGGGCTGGGGCTCCCCAAAGGAGCCGCCTTCAGACTCCTTCACGCAGATCCCTGACAGCAGCTCTCAAAACCCTTTGGTCACACAGAAAGGGAGATTCTTTTATTTTTATTATTTATGCAAAGTATAGACAAGGAGAGACGTGGTTTAATGGCACCATGTGACAGCACTTGGGATTGGAGCTGCTGCCGCCCACTGAATCAGCCCTGAGCCACTGCGGGGGTAGGGGGCAGCCCAGGTCAGGGAAGCCAGGTGCCCACTGCCCTCTGAACTGATGAGCTCACTCTGGACTCTGGCCAGGCCTGGGCTGAACTCAGTGCCCCATACAGCTCTCTGGGCACCTTGAACCCTGCATGGGGGTGGCAGACAGGGCGGGAGGAGGCGGCATCTCCTGTGATCGGGAGAGTGTTTCCTTTTGTGACAGAAGACCATGTGCTCTACTTGGTTAAAGGGCACCCTGACCCGAGAACCTGGGCTACAATGAGCCACAGCTGACAGCTACTGTGGGGGAAGGGGGCTGTGGGGCCACAGCCAGTGGGAACAGTACTGTGGGGGAAGGGGACAGTGGGGCCACAGCCAGTGGGGACAGCACTGGAGACGGCACAGAGAAGCACATCAGACAAGCAAGGGCTGAGGCCCCCACCCCAAGGGTGAGCCCCACAGCATCCCGTGCACAGCAGCTGGAACAAAAGCCCCAGTATCCCAGTGGGGCACTGTCCCCAGGGCCGGCAGGCTGTGACTTGGCTTGGACCACAGGAAAAGGACACCAGGGTGTGGCCACCAGCTCACTACAAGGACTGCAGCAAAGGCCAGGCCAGAGCACAACCACCACCTTCAAGAGGAAGGCGGCTTGGCAAGCCAGATCCCTGGCCCCCTGCTTTCCCCAATATGCCGCAGGGAAGAGCTGTCCGCCGACACACTGCCGCCAAGGTCTCGGTCAGCCCAGTGCTGTGCAAACCTGAGGATGCCAAAAGCAATGACAAGTGAGCTTCTGGAGCGAGGACTTCCCCGGGGAGCGAGTCCAATTGTCCTGCAACCTTCTGCAAGCTCCTGGATTATAAATAGCATGATTGGTGGCCTGTATTTTCTTCCATAAACTCTCCAAAGTGCCACCTCCCAGGGATCAATGGCTGTGCAGTGGCAGAAGCCTGGCAGGCGGCTGCTGGACCCAGGCCTTTGTCCCTCAGCCCCTCGGCCTCTTCACAGCCCCCTTAGTGCCCACGGTGGGCTGGGGAAGGTGACAGACGTGGCCTGTGGCTCTCACAGGGGAAGAAGGAAAGGGGAAATGGTCATTTTAAAAGGGCTTTTCTGTATTTTAAGGGATGGGAGACAAAAAAATTCATTATTTGTAAAATGAAATCTCATTACAAGGACTGCAGTCTTGCTGTTAGAGGCCATGGGACAGGGACAGGAAAGGAGAGCCAGAGTGTGGGTTGGCTGGTACACAGTGGCCCCAAGAGGGCAACGGTGGGTTGTACAGAGAGTGCTTGGCCTCTGGACAAGCCAGGAGCCCACAGAGAAGAGAACAGTGCCTTTTAATAGTCCAAGGAAAAAGGGCTTCTCGAGCCAGAGAAAGTACAGGAACATAAAGAAACAGTAGAATTCAGCAGCTGGACAGGTCCTGCCCTTGAGCACCCCAAACTTCAGCAAAGCCTGGGACTGGCACAGGCCCAGAACCCTCACTGGGGTCCCTCCTGGGCCATCGTTGTGGCTCGGTGCAGAGGTGGGGCACCTGCTTTCAGAGCATCCCAGGCCTTCTTAGCGCTGGGGACCCTGAGTCAGGGACATGTGGAGCTTGGGTGGGGCTGGGAAGACTGCAGAGAGCATACAGCCCTGGGCAAGGGGCACTGGGCCCCAACGGGGAGACTCCAATGCCAAGATGACCCTGCAGTCACCCTTGGGATCAAGGCCAGGGGCAAAGATGCAGGTGGCAGAACCAGGTCCAGTACAAAGGCCCAGGCAACCTCTGAGGACACTGCCAAGGCGGGAGCTATGCATGAGCTCATGGCCACACAGGGGCTGCCCAGAAGCTCCAGCGTGGCCACCCCCATCAGCCCAGCACCCTTATTGCCCTGCTGTTAACTACTGAGCAGATAATTGCTTTCTGTCACCCCAGTAAGCCCAGGATGCAGCCAACCCACGGAGTCATGTCATTGTGGGAAGGGTCTTCCCAGCTCAGCCGATGGCCCCTTCCCCAATACAAGGGAAGCTGAGGCTGGGTGAGCAGCAGCTCTGAGCTCTCTCTCTTCTCTTCTGCCCTGTGAGAACCACAGTTTGCTAATCTCCAGGTGACCTCAAGCACGTGGCCTAGCAGCCACAGAACAGCCTCAGTCTGGGCCACACATGTGGTCTTCTGACACCAAGCTCGTGAGGACTCTGGAGTTGAGGCACAGCCACCACCAAGTGCCAGCAGGGTGACCTGTTGCTATCTCCACCTCCCTGGGACACCAAGAGGATGCTCCTAGGGCCTGTCTGGAAAAGCACTTTGGGGTGAGTGGGTGACATGAAGTGAATCCAGGTCTTGCTGGGAGCCGCAGGTCCCACCCCTTCTCATGTCCTTGTTGGGACACTGATGGAATAGCAAAGGCTCCGTCCTGGGTGTGTCTCCATCTCCCCCCATTTCCCAAGCAGGACAGAGGAGATCTTTGTGCTGTTATAGCCTCCCTGAGCCTGAGCAGGAGGGATCTAGGGACTTGGGGAGCCTTAGGCCGAGCCAGTGGGCTGGGCCTGGAACCCTGGCTCCAGCCAAGACCCCAGATCAGAGGAACAGGGTGGGCTTGGGGTGTGTAGGGACCTTGGGGTGTGCAGACACCGAGGACCCCGAGTGTCCCAGCTGCTCAAGGGGCCTAGTATGTATTTCATACTAGTATGTATTTCAGCCCAGGAGGAAAGGCCCAGAAATATAGTCCCTTTATGGGGCTTAGACCACCTCCAGAAGCGTGCCACAACCCAGGCATGGTGCCACACACCTGTATCCCAAGAGGACCTCAGGTTCAAATCAAGCCTGTACAATTTAGCAACTTAGCAAGGTCCTGACTCAAAAATAAAAAAGTAAGGCCAGGGAGATAGCTCAGAGGGTTAAGCACCTGCCTGGCAAGCACAAGGTCTTGAGTTTGATCCCTGGTACCAAAAAAAAAAAAAAGGAAAATAGATACTCTGCAAAAGTTAAAAGACTGAAGTGTAGTTCAGTGCAAAGACTCTGAGTTCCCCCTAATACTGGAGGGGTATAAACATGCCATACAGGAGCCATTGGCAGGCAGCTCCTGTGCCCAGGACTGAGCAGCTGTCCCGTGCAGTGCCCCCACGCCTTGGAGCCCTGGCCTCTTCTACGCTGCCACTCCTGAGGGCCCTTCTCAGCCCCAGCCTGCTCCAGTCCATATGTGGGTGTGCCCAAGGTTCAGATGACAGGGACCTTTAAAATGTCTAAGTTTGGGAGCTGACATGACAGGAGAGAGATTCTCCACTTCAGTGTGACAGGCAGGGACAAGGTTCCTGAAATAAGTAGAAAGGACAAGAAGGAAGGGCAGGAGCCATTTGGCCTCATCCCTGCAGACACAAGAGATGCTGAGCCCCCAGGACAAGGGTCCTCCCCCTTATTGCTGTGGTCCCCTCCAGTGGGGCGTGCTGGGCAGGCAGCCATGTCCACTCCAGCAACAATTCTGGCTCCTGCTCTTGGTCATGCCTGGAGCCCCATCACCAGCCCCCAATTCTTCCTTTCCCATTCTCACCCAGAAGACCATGCTCCAGCCTACAGTAGCCAAGATGTTGCAGCCTCAGCTCTACAGAATTAGGGGGCATGATCGCCCTTCCTAGAGCAGAAGTGGACCCCAAAGCCTGGTTACGGCATGGCAGAAGCCTTGTCTCCTGCTTCCCAGTGCCAGTGAAATGTGGAAACCTGCAATGCGGGTCTCAGGCCACAAGCTGCCCAGGAATTGCTGGGCAGGGCTGTAGGGAGGAGGCCTGACCAGGTGTAGTCAATGGGTGGCAGAGGGGACAAAAGAGCCCCAGCAGGTGGACAGCCAAGCCAACTGGAGGAGCCAAGAAGGTCCTCTCGGGCCCAAGCAATGTTGTAGGGCTAAGCCTCCCTCTGGAAGAGCCCACCCAGCGCCGCTGGCTTGGTCCCTGGAGGAGGCCACAGCAACAGAACAGCAGCTTTATTGACCAGGCTTAGCAGCAGGAATGCAGTGGAGATGGGGCCTATACAATCCAGCCAGGGGGTCTGGGAACCTCAGTCTTCTCCACGTGTCCCAGAGTCCACTCCGCCCCTGCTCCAAGGCCCTCCAGAAGTAAGGGACTGTGGGTGCCAGGGGCCTGGGCTGGAGGGGCTGGGAGGGTCAGGGAACCAGATTGGGGCAGCCGGGGCACATGCCTGCCCAGTGGCCGGCAGGAGGCGACTCGTGCAGGACGATGGGGGCGCGCAGGCATCCAGGCTCACCACACTGAGCACTTGTGCACAGGGTTCATGGGCGAGTCCTTGGGGCAGTGGAAGGCCCGGCCAAACTCCTCAAACTGAGACACGCTGCCCAGCACCCTGGGGTAGGGGCAGACACCCAGGCATATGGGTCCCAGTTGCTGCCCACCCCAGCTGCTGGGGTTGACCTTCCGTGACCCCCAGCTGCTCTCCCTAGCAGACAGGCAGGCATTACCTGTAGTGCTCAGGTGCATGCTTGTCAGTCAGCACCTGCAGGTAGATGGACTGCGACCGCCTCTTGATGCACCAGTTCTGGGCCCCAGAGGGGAGGGACAGGAGGAAACAGGAAGATGAGGACCAGAGGCTGCTGTCCACCTGCCCATCAGTACCCACAGGGCATCACTTCCAGGTGACCTGGGTAGGAGCCAGGCTGGACCCAGGGCTGGACCCAGTGCCTGGGACTGAGGAGCAGCACCCACCCCATACCTGGGCAAAGGCGATGAAGAAGAGCTGGTTGTGCGTGTACTTGAGCCGGTGCAGCGGATGTTCTGGGCCGTGCTCCCGCACCCACTTCTGATAGGCCTAGGGGTGCAGACAGCAGAGAGCAGCTATGCCACCTGCCCTGGGCACCGCTCTGTCTCCAACCTCCACCCAGTGAGATCCTCCCTGGATACTGGTTCTTCCCTCGCCATCCTCAGCTCGGCCATCACCACCATGCTGTGACCCCCCCAGCACCCTTCTCACACTGTGCTCCTACAGGATGGCCCTCAGCCAATGCCACCCCCTCCAGGAAGCCCTCCTGGCTCTCCTGGTGAAGGCAGGGTTTGTGGCTCCTTCCACTTCCAGTGGATGCTGTGCAGGGCACAGGCCAGAGCTCAGAGGATTGGGCAGATGGGGCAACCACGTCCAGTTTAGGGTTCTCCTCAGGTCCCTCCATGTCCGCCAGGGACAGAAGGCAGGCAGGATGGCTCACGTAGTAGGCTAGCTTGAGGCCACCCATGTCTGCAATGTTCTCCCCAAGTGTGTGCTTCCCATTCACCTGCCAGAGGGAAAAGGCGGGGGATGCATGGGGCTCCCAACCCAGCCCACCTCCTCCCTCCCTTGCCCAATCTTCTTCCTTTTATCCCTCCCACACACCACTCTAGTCAGTGTGTCTCACTAAGTACGATGTGCTTGTGCATGAGAACCCTGAGCACCTGTGCAGGGAGGGACCTGGCACAAGTGTGTACACAAGTGTGCATGCTCTCTGTCCACGCCCAACTGATGGGGGAGGGCCTCACCCGCTGGTTGTAAACAGTAAAGTTGTCATAGAGGCGCACAATACACTCAGCCTTGCGCAGGAAGCGGCTGTAGGAGGCCTCAGTCCACCAGTGCAGCAGGTTCCCCGAGCGGTCGTACTGGCCCCCTGTGGGTGGTGGGCAGGCAGCTAAGGCTGAGCCCCAGCCCCATCACTCACCCTGCCCCAGCCAGTCTCTCTGGCCCCAGCAGGCCTCACCCCAATCATCGTAGCCGTGAGTCAGCTCATGCCCAATGATGGTGCCGATGCCCCCGTAGTTCAGAGACCTGGGCCCATGGCAGCAGGTCAGGCCCAGCCCTCTCCTGACCTGTGAGAGCCCACACTGCTGCCCAGGCCCCAGGAAGCCCCTGGTTAGGGTAGAAGGAAGCCAGGGAGCCCACAGGGAGGAGGTGGGTGGTAGGTCCACGAGGTCCTGCACAAGCTTCCTTGTGGGCTCCATGAAAGGGAACGATGGTCCTGTCCAGTTGCCCTTTTGGAAATAACATCTAAGGCGGGCCAGTGGGGGCACAGGACAGGGTTAGAGGGAGCAGGAGAGAAATTGAGGCATCCACGCGTGCATTCGCCTCTTTCCTCATCACTAGGGTCCCTCCACTTTGGAAATGCATAAATGAACCCAAACAGCAAGGGGCATTCAAGAAGTTTTAAAAGCAAAACAAAAGAAAAAAACCAATTACACATTCTAAATAAGCCAGGATGAAGTGGGACTGTGGGGACCCTGGATCTGCAGCTGTCACGACCCAGCCCAGTTTTGGAGCTGCGGATCCCCACCCACTTGCATTCAAGGCCTAGGAATGGATCTGGGTCCCCTACTCACTGTGGGAAATCTGGGTCATACAGGGTGGGCTGCAGGATGCCGGCGGGGAACACTAGGAGAGGGAAGTGAGTGAGACTCGCCTACTTGCAGGCCCCGCCCATCTCAGGCCACACCCATCCACAGGCCCCGCCCCTGTCCAGGACATACACCCCTTACCCATCTGGTTCTTGTTGGGTAGATAGTAGGCATTGAGCGCCTGTGGAGGGAGCAGCCACCTGTGTGGAAGAAGGCTGTCACCTGGGGGACACACTCCCCCCTGCCACAAAGTCACATTCTTCAAGACTGTTCTGATGGCCAACAACAGCTACTTCCTGGGAGCATAACCTCTGGGCAACCCCCCAGGATGGGCCACCCGCTGCTCTGTGGAGGCCCAGGGCATCCCTGCATCAGCCTGGCTTTGAGGCAGTCTCCTCCAGCAGTGCTGGCCTTGGGAAGGAGCAACCCCCAAAGGCCTCTCCCAACCCCCAGCTTGAGGCCAGGCACCCACGTGGACTTGTCCACCTCCTGTCGGATCTTCTTGACAGAGAGCTGGATGCTGAAGCGGATGCTGTTCAGGATGTTCTTGAAGTATGTCTTCTCATGGACCTCGAACTGTGTGCAGATGGGCAGCGCTCAGGGGCAGGCCAGAGCAGGCTGTGCCATCAGCCAAAGTGCTGTAATTCTATCTGTGGCTGGTGTCCAGCTTCCCTGGGGTCAGGCTATCAGGGCAGGAGAAGAGGGCCCACCTCATACTCCTTGTCCACAGCCTCTGGTTTAAGCAGGAAGTCTGGGTAGCCGACCATCACCATCATATACTGGAGCTGCGGGGTGGGTGACAGGCAGGTGGGAGAGGCCTGAGCCTCTGAGCAGCCCTAGTTGCCCAAGGGAGGAACTCTTGGCCAGCCCAGAGTGGGGGTTTCGCCAAGGAAGAACAAACAGGTGTTGTCATTCTACAAAGGCAACTTGGCCTCTTGCTCTCCCCAGGATCCAGTACCCAGCAGGGGCTCAGGTCCCATGTCACCTTGGCCCGAGCAGCGGCCTTGGTCTGGGCATCCATCCAGTCCAGCTCCTCCAGGCGCTGACCCAAAATGTACTTGATGTCTTCTACCAGCTGCTGCACCTGCCAGGTCACACATCAGAGACCAAGGTTCAAAAGGGGAGGTTAAGGATCTGGCTCCCAGACCTGACAGCAAGAGTATCCCTGGCCTTCAATACCACTTGCTAAGCCCAGGGTGCCATGCTAAGTACCAGGAGAGACCTCAGGAGTGAGGATCCATGCCCTGCACCCAGATCCTAAGTCCCCAGCCTGGAAGGGGGAAACTACCTAAAACAATCCTGTACCTTCCTGAGGCCATGCCTGCTGAGCACCAGCAAGGCTTGGCAGAAGCCTGGCAATGAATGCCACTTGCAGCTAAGCCAGCACCTAGGCTTCCTGGGGGCTGCTCCTGGGGCCTGAAGCTTCAACACAATTGAGCCCTCAGCTGCACATGGCACCCCAACTCCTGGTGAACATGCCAGGCTCCCCTCCTCCATGCCCAGTTCTATGCCTGTGCCCACACCCTCTACTCAGGGCAGCCTGACCTTAGCTTTGCTGGCAGCTGAGAAGTGCTCATGTACAAAGAGGGCACCAAGTGCCATGCCAAAGTGGCGGTTGGCCTGGCCCAGGCAGACTCGGGCCAGCTCCTGAGGCTTGTCACTGCCCTCCATCTCTCTGGCCAGCTCATGCAGTGCATCACGGAAGGGTGGGGACAGGTGCTCACTCAGGACCACCACCACACGCCACACGAGGTAGTTGTGCAGGATCCTGCCAGAAGTGAAACAGGTATTCAGACAGACATGCAGATCAGTACTCAGACCTGGCCCACCTGAGGAATGGACCAGGTACCCACAAAGCCCCATAAACAAGGGGGAGAACTCAACCCAGGAATGCAGAAGCTCAATACAAATGGTCATGAACCCCTGTCACACGGCACCCACTCCTGGGACAACCAAGAGCCCTGCCCTGAAGGACTGCCACCAGCCCCACTTCCCAGCTTCCTGTGGATGGAACCCAGGCACTCGGGCTCACTATCTGTCTCAGAGCTGGCCTTGAGCCACCTTGTTCCTCCCCAGGAGGAGCACAGACAGGAAGCTCTCCCCGAAGTGACCCTGGGCAGCAGTCTTGGGCAGCAGAGTCCTGGCCACCCCTTACCAGGGAGACACTGGTCTCAGCCTACGAGCACAGTCAGGCACGCAGTTCAGGACGCCCACAGCCTGCCCAGTTCCCACAGCGCAAGGGACAGTGCAGGGTTCAGTTAGCCCCTGAGCCTAGGGATCTGGAATCCCGCTCAGTGCCCCCACCTGCCTGCCCGAGTGACACCGGCACAGAGGGGTAGGAGGACAGGTACAGGTGCAGACTGGGGCCCTGCAGGCGGTGGGGGAGGGGCCAGGGCTGCAGCCCACCTGTGGGGCGTGGAGCGGATGAGCTGGGACACCTGCTGCATGTAGTCTGTGGCCAGCAGCACCACCTCCTCGTCCTCTGAGAAGTCCTCCTGGAAGATCTGGTCCAGCAACCATTTCCACCGCAGCTGTGGGGCCGAGGGCAGGGGCCACAGGGCACAGGGAGGGGTCAGGAGAGGCGGGGAGCCGGGTGCACCAGGGAGGAGGCCAGGTGCACAGAGGAGCAGCACAGTCCTGGGAGGGGACCCCGGGCCCGGGCTCAGCCCCCCACGCAGTGGGGCAGCCACACTCACATGTGGGGTGATCTTCTGCAGCTGGCCCAGCGTGACCTTGTTGTACATGGCACTGACGTCCCGCCGCAGGTCATCGTACTCTGACACGGTGATCTGGGAGGACACTCTGCTGAGCGACCCCTATGTGCCACCCCCCACTGCACTGCTCCACCCTCCACCCCCACCCTCCAGGGCTCACGTTGGCCAGCCGCTGCTCCAGCTGCAGGATCTCCTGAGCCTTCTGCTGCACTGAGTCCGCGCCCAGCAGGCTGAGCAGGCGCTCCATGAACACCCTGTAGGCCGCCAGGACCTGCACAGGACAGGACTCTTCATGGAGGGCCCGTGGCAGCCTGGGGATGCACCCCCACACTTCACCCCCAACCCCCACCACCCCAGACCCAGGCCTCCTCACAGCCCATGCCCGCCAGGAACCTTCTCACTCTCCTCATCCTGGGCCAGGTACAGGGTCCTCTCAGGCAGGGTGAGCCCATCCTGGTCAATCTGGGGAGAGTGACAGTGCTCAAGGGGCGAGCTCAATGTGCCAGTTTCCCAGACTGACTCCCCCCCAAGTGGCCTGGAAGCTCCTGCCAGACATCTGCCATGGCCCAGGAGCACAGGAACACAAGCCTCCCCACCCAGAGCTGCCTCGAAGCCTGGGGACAACTGGGGAGCCACCCAGGTCTTCCCCATCCACCCTCACCTAATCTGCTGGGCACGAAGAAGGGCAGGGGTATCCATTTTAGGGTAGGGGACCTAGGCATTCCTGACCAGCCCCTGCCAGCGAAGAACTATCATCCCTGCCTTGGGTTCCCTCCCTCCATTCTCCCTGTTGCTACAAGTCTCGGATAGGCGTCTCTTTGTGCCTGGCCATCAGCCCCCAAAATGAACCACGCCCTCCCAGAGCTCTGCCCCCTGGGTGCACAGCGGCTAGGCCCTGGTCCTGGTCATTTTGGTCCCCACACTCACGCGAATGACATAGCGCGAGGAGTTCCTGTCGTCCAAGCTAACAGTGAGCGAGAAGAGCGCGGAGGCGCTGTACACGCCCTGAGCCTTGTACAGCAGCCTGTTCAGGTCCCAGCGTGCGGCGTCCCAGCCCCCGCAGTCGGCGATGACCTCGAGCATGGGCCGCGGCCCAAGCCGCTCGATCTCGCCCATGTCAAGGCACGAGCGGAAGAAGGCGCGCACCTTGCGCTGCGCCGCGCCGCCGGGGCCTCCCGCCGGCCGCGCCAGCAGCCGCCGCAGGCGCTCTTCGTTTTGTTCACCGATGGCAGCGATGGTGCCGTAGGTGAGCTTGTCGTCGGGGATGGCGTGGCGCCGCAGCCAGCCGCCACACGCGAACGAGTAGAAGTCCTGGCACGGGTCGATGCTGGCGTCCAGGTTGGCGGACAGGAAGCGGGCAGCGCGCGCGAAGGCCTTGCGCTCTGGGCAGCCCTCGGGACAGGCGCCGCCGCCCGCCGCGCCCGGGCCCAGGTACTTGAGCACCAGCATGGCGGCCAGGATGGCGCAGAGCCCGGCGGCGAACACCAGCCCCGACAGCAGGCACACCTCGCGCCGGTTCCAGCGCGGCAGCCCGGCGCGCGTCCCTGAGCCACTGCGCCCCGAGCCCCGCGGGAAGCCGGGCGGCAGCGAGGTCCCCCGGGCGCCCCCCGCGCCGCAGCGGCTCACGTACTTGACCTCCTGGAACTCATCGTAGTGCGCAGTCATCGAATACGGGGCCTCCATCGTGCGCGATCCGATCCGCCGCCGGGACGTTTATGGGCGTTTGTGAGTGCGCTACAGCAGGTGGCAGGCCGGCGGCCTCCCCGTGGGCGTCCGCATATTCCCGCAGCAGCTTCGGGAAGAGGAGAGAAAGGATCAGAGCGGTGCGCACCCCCACAGGGCCCACTAGCCTGAGGTTGCCTGGCGGAAGCCTAGTTGTGGAGGCCAGAGGCCCCCCGGGGTCCCCAACTGCTGCCAAGGCCTCTTCCCCCGTACTGGGAAGGCTCAAAGGGGCCACTACAGCCGCACTACGGTGTGTCTTGAACCAGCCCCAGCTGCATCCTGCGCACACAATGCCCACTGCAGACTTGGGAGGACCCTGCCAGAAAACTGGAGGCACTGCACGAGCCTGGCACGCAGTAGGCCTGCATGGCCTCGGCTTCTCTGCCCCTTTTTGCCTGTCTGTCCCAGACCCGCTGTCGCCAGGCCCGGGTGGGGGAGGGGAGAGTGCAGCTGGAGACAAGAGGCGCGGTCAGGAGCGTCTCTGCGGACCCTGAAGCCGCCTTTCCTTCTCCACACTGGACAGCAACGCCCAAGAAAGCGAGCAAATCGACAAACTTCGTCCTCGCGGAATCTTCAGAACCATTCCTAGCCAGGCCTCTGGGTCAGTCTCGTTGGCCCAATACCCATTCGCCCCTTCCCTAGGTCGCAGCGTCCTCCACCGCGGGTTCGGAGAGACATACCCCTCCCCGACGTCGGTGCCCGAGAACTCGAGGTGTGTCCATCCTCGGCCCCCTCTCTGCCCCGGGCCACTCCCCGCCTCAACAGGTTCTTCCCGGATCCCAAACTTGGGCGAAGTTTCACCCCACTTCCCCCGCGCGGGCCGAGGGAGCAGGGCCGGGTGCGAGGCTCCTGCGCCGAGCCGCGCGATCCGCGGAGCGCTAGAGCCGAGCCCGAGTCTGAGTCGCAGCCGCAGCCGCAGCTGGAACCGGAGCCGAGGGGACGCAGACAAAGCCGGGAGGCTAGGCGCCTCGGCCACGGTGGCCGTGGGGATGGCGGGGGTGGTGGTCACGGCGACGGCGGACTCAGGTTCCACTTACGCGGCAGGTGCGCGACCGGTCGGGCGAGGACGGAGTGGGTCAGGCCGGTCCGGGCCTGAGCCCGGCGGAGCGGAGCGGGGCGGGCGGCCGCTCTCTCCGTGCGCCCGCCGCCGCCTCTGCCTCCGCCGCGCAAGGAGCCCGCCGGCACGAGGGAGGGGGCGCGCCAGCAGCTCCACCCTCCTTCGCGCGCCCCCACCCCCGCGCCCCTCCCGCTTCCTGCTTCACTCGCGGCTACCTGTCAGCTCCGCAGCAGCGCGGAGGTGGGGACCGCGGCAGCAGAGATGGAGTCACACACCAGCTTCGGGCTCGGGGACTCCGGGTCCAGCTGTGTCCCGGGAGGAGTGCGCGCGGATGCTCTTCCCGCAGCCGGGTCCCCCTCCGATGCGGTGCTTCCAATCAGAGCCTATCGAGGGGCGCTAGAATGTCCCAGCCGGGCCCACCGGACTGGAGTTCAGCCCCGAGAGGACTCCGCAGGGCTGCTGGGAGGCGCTTTGGGAGAGGCTGGTATGAATGGCCTTCCAAACCGGCGTCCTCGACTTTCTTTTTAACCCCCGCTGGGATCAGCCGGTGTTTGTGTTTAGGCTTTTGGTTGGTCACTCTCTGCTCACCAGACCCCGAAGGGCAGCTCTCCAAGAAGAGACTGAGGCTGAGACTGTGCCCCTTCATCAGCCTTGGTTGGCCTGGCACCACTGCTCAGGAAGTCCCTGTCCTGTTTTGGGAGAAAAGGTGTAGCAGAGAAGGGGCCTGCGCCCTATGCCCAGTAGCTCAAGCCCTCAGGCACCTAGAGGATCTCCAGCCCCTGGTGCCTAGACACACATCCAGGTGACTGACCCCACCCTTCCAAAGGAAATGCCCTTTTCAACGTGGGCCTCCCTCCTGCCCTAGGCTGAGGCTTCTCTGCCCTCCTCCATGCCAACCTTGGGGCTTCTTGGGCATGGGATACCTCTGGAGGCTCTGCTTTCTCTGCCCTGCCTGCCACCCCTCTCTTTCTAGTGCCCTTGGCAATGCCCCCACCCCTCACCACCAGGCCTCCCTGACCTTCAGGTTCCAGCTTGTGTGACAGCCTCAGGAGTGTTTGAGGGCCTTGGGCCTCCTGGAAAGACAACCAGGACAAGGTGGGCACTGCAAGGACAGCCCACCATCCTGTCGCCCCTCCCTGGGGTTTTTCATCAGCCGGTTACCAGGCCCAACCTCCATGTGACCGCCTCTGCCCCATCCTCTGTCTGTCCATTTCTGCCTTTCTAAGCTCCCACTTGGGATAGTGTGCAACACTCTGGCCATTCCAGGGTTCTCTTTGCCTTGTGCGTCTTCTCTGGTCAAATTAATGCTACAGAGGAGGGATGGAATTACGCAAACTGTGGTGATTCCACGGGGGGAGGGGAGGGCAGGGCGGTGGCACAGCAGCTCTTTGTGCTTTTAATCTGCATTTTCCCCTCGATGTTCCATCTCCTGGAGGATAATTTTCCAGCCTTTTCAGACCCTGATTGGTATCATTTCTCCAGCAATGACAGCTTTTATTTTCCCCGAAATGAATGCCGTGAAATTTCCAAGAAATATAAAAATGGATATTGTCTCAGGGAGCTGACTCTCCCGACATCGAGGCGCAGAGGCAAACACACTCCCCCAGGGACTTTCCTACTCTGTGAGGGAGGATGGGGACCCCAGCTCTTCCCTCTTGGCTCTCCCAGCTCAACTCTTGGGCCTCCCTTCAGGCCACTGGGTCATCCAGGTCCCTCGCCCCCTGACTCCAGGCAGCCCTCAGTCAGCCTGGTGCATCGGCCTCCCACTCTGGTCAGTCTCCTTCCCATATCCAGCCTCCTACATCCAACAAGGATCCCCCAGCCCTGGCCCATCAGCCAGGGCCCACATGAGCTGGCTGGGGACTGGGCCCTCTGACCACTGGGTCTTGGTGACCCCTACAAGCCCACTACCCAGAGGGGCCTGACCCCACCTCCTTCACTTCTGTCTGCTTTCAGAAAGGGACAGTGTGACTGTAGGCCAGTAGGGGACTCCAGAGGCCTGACCCCCAGGTCTAGTGCCCTCTTTGAGCTTTCCAGGGCTCTTCCCCAAATGCCAAGTTGACCTCATGGCAGAACATGCCTTACCCAGCTGTTTTGGAGAGAAGGACCCATAGGATGCAGCCAGTGAAGGGGAGGGGTTTTGGAGACAGCACCCCCACCTCCCCCTGTTGGAGGATGAGTCTCACCTACCTAGGTAGCCAGGGCACCCTGGGTTGGGGCTCTGGGGAAGGAGCACCTCACAGCCCTGACTCTGGGGGCCCCTGGGAGACTGCAGCGCTTACATGAAGAATGCTCTGATACTGAAGGCTCACCAGGGCAGTGCCCAGTGTCTTGGCCTAGAAAAGGGCTGCTGGCCTGGGGCTTCCTCTGCTCCACTGCACCTTGCATGGGTGAGGGACAGAACCCCAGCACCCCAAAACCCACCAGGGCAGGGAGTCAACCTGGGATACCCCCAGATTCCTGGCTATCCAGCCTGCTCCTCCCCACATCCCGTGATGTCATCTTGCCCTCTGCCCAGCCCCTTCAGGCTCATCCATCCATTATTCACAGCACAAAATGGATTTTTAATTTGAGAAATGAAATGATGCTCCCAAGTGGCCAGCATGGCAGGAGGGGTGGAGGAGGCTGAAGCCACAGGGAGGCCCCATGGTGCCCGGCTTGGGCTGTCTCTGAGGAGAGGTGGTCACCTGCAGCAGGTGATGTGGCGCAGATCCCCACAGCCCAGCCTGGGTCCTGGGGCGCACTTGCTGTGAAAGGTCTGACTCAGCACCACCTGAACTTCCGGTCTCTTCCCATCTGGCTTCCCAGGGTTTATCCTACCTGAGTCACAGCACTAAACAGATTTCTAAAATTATTTTAAATTACTATATAATTGATTCCTTTGTTCATTCATTCAATGTTTGGGTCAGGGTCTCACTATGTTGACCAGGCTTATCTCAGATTCTTGGGCTTAGGTGACCCTCCTGCCTCAGTCTCCAAAGTACCCAGACTACAGTCAAAGGGTGCCACTGTGCCTGGCTACAAAATGGTCCCCCCCCCTTTGGTTTGTGTGTGTGTGTGTGTGTGTGTGTGTGTGTGTGGTCCTGTGGTCCTATGGTATTGAACACAGGACCTTCACATTGACTGAGCTGTGTCCCCAGTCCTTTTTTAATATTTTATTTTATTTTGAGACAAGAACTTGCTAACCCATTAAGTTGCCCTGGGTAGGCTAGAACTTAAAGTCCTCCTGCCTCAGCTTCCCAGAAAGCTGGGATTACAGATCCATGCCACCAGACCCGAGTCTCTCAACTGGGCCCCTTTCTGAGGGTCTCCAGTCTTGGTGGCTGTTCTGGCCTCTGCCCTGTCTCCAGCCCTCAGAAACCCCTCCTCACCCCTCATGACTGAGCCAGTGTCCTTCATGGTCCCACGAGACCTCTGCCGTCCTCTGTGCTCTCAGTCCGTATCCCCACCCTGCTTCTCCCTGCCCTCTGCAACTCCGACCTATTGTCATTTCCCAGCACACAGCTGGCCCTGCACACCTACAGCCACAGCCTCTCCGAACGTATTTCTTCTGTCACCTCTTCTGTGTCCAAGTGCCAGCCAAGTGCCAGTCAGTCTCCTGGGCCACCTTGGATTGGCCTGTCCCATCTGGTCAGCTGCTATCTTTCTGGGGTACACACTTGCTTTCCCTGGACCCTACCATACTGCACATAAAGGTCCTGGTCTTCCTGTGGGTGTGGCCCAGGCCTCTCTGGCAGCCTAGCACCCAGCACACACCTGTTCAAACTCAGGCAACAGCACCAATCAGCACATGGAAACCCTGCGTGAAGGGTCCCCCAGTGCTGGGGCTTGTGCCAGGCACAACATCCACCTACAGACATGCCAAGTCTGGCATCCTAAGCACACCTGTCCTTTGCTCTAGAGC